TATACTCGAGTATATACGGTACTCAAGAGCTAATGAAATTAGATTTGAATGTTTGTTTGTTTTTTGAGAACTCATACAGCTTAATTGAAATTGAAATAAGCAGCATTTTTTCCCACGCCTTTCAATGATTTTACTACCAGGTTGCTACGGTAAGAGTACATAATTGAATGTAATGTGTTTACCATTGTAGACAGTTAATTTATTAGTCTAATACATACTTGTTCCAAAGTATTTGTATACTATTTATATATTCCCAACTTTCAAAACAGTCACCAAGAAGACACAAAAATGTTTTTGTTAGATTTATCTTCCATGGTATATAGTATAGGAAATACAGAATCCACTGCTACTAAAATGCTAGAGTAATTTGTAGAACTGTTATACAATCTTTAACATTCCATAATAAAGGAGAATTAATATTGGAGTTTGTTTCAGATGTGCCTTGCATCAGAGGAAGTAAAAGTGAGAGAACCTGGGAAAGCAAAACCTGAAACAGCCAGGATTGTCAAAACACTGGAAGCATCTGAACAGATGAAAGTTGAAGTTTTGGAGAAAGCAAAAGTAAAAACCGAAAAATCTCAGAAAATGAAGAGACAAGAACAAGAAAAGACAAAGGCTGGGGTTTTCGAAGAGGTAACAAGGTGTATACATATTTCAGATCCAGCTTTGAACAGCATTACATTAGTTGGACATGACAGTGCAACAGCAAAAGTTCCTGCATGCTGTTCCCATGAGCTGACATCAGTAGCTGACATCAGCACTTTAGGATTAAACAAACCAGAAAAACTGAAGAAAAAGAAGAAGAAAAATAAAATGGACCGACAAGGACTTGAGAAATGTACTCCTAAAAAGACTTGCAAAAAAAGGCAGTCTTCCGAATCAGATATTGAGAGTGTCATTTATACTATTGAAGCAGTTGCAAAAGGGGACTGGGGGACAGAGAGACTTACAGAAATGTCCCATAAGAAAATTTGCCTTTCTTCTGCAATGAAGGGCAATATTTTGGACACAAAGTCACCAAAGAAGAAAGTAAAGTCAAAAGAAAAAAAAGCACTGAAAGAAAAATGTTTAGAGACCACCAAAGAATCAAAGCCTCCTGATTTTTTTAGCATTAAAGATAACAAGATTGTACCCTGTGAAGTACCTGAAAACACAACAACAGATATTCTAACCCCAACAGAGGACATAATATCACAGAGTTTACCAGATCAAGTAAAAATTGAGGACAATGACTGTAATAAAAAAGCAGAAATTTGTGGCTCGAGAAAATCTGAAAGAGCTTGCAAAGGTGCACTGTACAAAACTCTGGTATCAGAAGGCATGCTTACATCTCTGCGTTCCAATGTTGATAGAGGTATTTAGCTTTTAATATGTCCATCTCAAAATTTTAAAACCCACAAAATATAATTAATTGTGTTTTTATGTTTCATTATTCAAAGTAAATTGAATATAATTCGTTCTAATCTTTGACAATAAGTTTGCTTTCAATGAGCTTATTTCTAGAATATGTGCCAGTGATAATAGCAAATGGCTGCATATCTTCTCTCCATGTTTTAAATTACTTATTTATAACACTTTTAATGTTCCATGTGGTTCAAATGCAATGCAAAGGCTTTTTTCACATGGGACAAAAAGGAGAGGCTAGCAAGTTCAAACTAAGACATCAAACAATGATAAGCCATATTTTCAAAATATTCAATCACCTTGGTGATATTTAAAGTCTAACTTTAAGAATTGGTATTTCAGGTGCATTGTTGTACACTATAGGTCTGTATCTTTTACAGCAGCATCTAAAGCCATTTTATGTCATTGATAATATTGGGCAGTCTATCCTAACCTTCCCCACATACTTTGAATGTAGCTAACCTTCATACCATAATGAATAATTGGTACTTCAGAGGACTGTTCTTAATTCACATCCCAAATCCTCTTTCCACATTTCTACATCTTAATTATAAAAGATTATTTCATACTACAGCTGTACATCCCCCAAAACCATTTGCTATTATGTAAATGATTGCTCATTTAGGCTGAACATTGTACTAATTAAAAACAACTACATCCACAACCATTTTACTAGATTTATAGAACATGCAAAAATCTTCTAAGAATGCATTTATCTCTCCATTGCTTACAGTTCTACTTCATTTTTTTTACTGTAGATTTATAGGATTCTAACGTAGTTTTTCACCTAGAGATTAATCAGCTCTTAGCTTCAAGCAACTGGAATCTGAACAAATCCTGCTGACCATTTGCTATGACATGAAAATATTTTTTATCCAATTATAAACTACTAGTTTATCATTTTCAATACATAGAGAGGAGAGTGTCTGTGTTAATACTCAATTTCCCTTTGTATATTTGTTTATGGGAATCTCTGGAGTTCTTAAGAATATGTGCAGGTTTTTTTAAAACATTTCCATTTTTAGCCTAAAGCATAGTAGATATTGGGTTGCTTCGTAAAACTTTATATGAAAGCTGTAAAGTGCTAACAGTATGAATTATTAAACAATGATTGCTATTGATGTATTTGTTATTTTAAGCAGATTATTTTCCTCTTTCATTCCTTATTTCTAGATTCATATTTATTAATTACCATTAGATTATACTACATATCAATTCATGGGGACATGCTTAGAAATTGTCATATTAAAATGATGATGTAATGCTTTTCCGAGTCCTAGGAGAGTCTCTAATGAATAGAGTCTCTAATCTCTAGTGAGATGAATCAGTCATCCTACTTAGCAAAAAGCAATATATTATGTTTCTAGTGTGTCACTGTTATAAAGTTTCCCAGTAATCTCCACGCAGCTTTTCTTGTTCCTACTCACTTTCTTAGGAAAACGAAGCTCAGGAAAAGGTGGCAACTCTGATCAGGAAGGATGCTGGAATGAAGAAACTTGGGCATTTTCCTTAAGTGGGACAAGTGGGAACAAAAAGTTAAAAAGAAGTAAGCCAAAGGAAGACATTGTTTTGGGGTAAGTGATGTAATAAATATGTAAGGGTATGTTACTTTCAAAATAGTTTGGTATTGATTAGAAATGAAATGCCTTGTTGAACAAATATCTTGCTCACTTTTTGTCATGTACTTTTGTCAGTTTCTTTTTCAATTTCAAAAGGAGAGATACAGATAGTAACAAACAAGGGTATAAACACACACATACACACACACAAACACACACACATACATATATGCATGCATGCATGCATGCATAAACCAATTGATTCAGTTGTCTTAACTTAAATTACATGTTGAACTTTGAATATTATACAATTAGCATAGCAGTTACTGAGAAATCTAATTACATTGCTAAAGTTACATATGAAAGACTTTTGGGGAAATCGGCCTATATCTGGATCATGATTCCTTTGATTTGCAAATTTTAGGTTTGCAAAATGTACAAAATTTAGATTTGAAGTCAAACGATAGTGAACCTTTTTCAGCAACATACATGTATACCCTATATACTTATGGATAAGTCAAGAATGTTAGGTGCTCAAATATATCCCCAAACATCCCTCAGGGATATTTTACTTATCTCCAGATGGGCTTATCTGCAAATAAAATACCCTTATTGACTCACTGATAAGTTGATCTTTGATTTTTTTAAACTAAAATGCCATGAAAAATATGCCACTCACAGGTAATTATGAAATAATTATAATAATTATTTGACTTATCACAAATTAAAATTAAAATAAATAAAAATAAAATTTTGAGGCTAATCCAAGGTACCTTTTTCATGACATTTTGATTAAAAACTCAAGGATCAGCTTATCCGCAGATAGGCTTATCCGCAAGTATATTGGTACTTACTTTAAAAGTACAAGACATGGGAAATCATTTGTGTGCAGCCTACACATGCAAAACTGCCCTGAATAGAAGCAAATTATAATATTGCTTGATGGATGGGTTACCATATTGGTTACCTATACATGGCTAAGGGAATGAAACCATACTGGCCCTGCTAGATCTTTTAGTCACCTTCTATACTATTAAAATAGTATGCTTCTGGATTGCCAATGAGAGATCGGAATTACTCTTCTTTAATAGTTCTGCTTTTTCATGAGTGGATGGTTTCAGACAGTGTGGAGGAAAGAAAATTCAAGTTCTGGAGGACTCCAGCACTTGGGCCCTAAGGCTGGACCATCTCCCCTATTTTATTCAATATCCTTATAGTATATTAAAATCTATGTTATTTTAATCTGTTTGATTTTCTGCTTTCACATCTTTAGTTTAGCAAAGCTGGAAGAAGAATTTGAGAAGAAGTTCAACAGCCTTCCTCAATACAGTCCAATCACATTTGATCGTAAAAATGCCTCTCTACCAAGAAAAAAGAAGAAAGTTGGCAGTTATGCTATAGACCAAACAAAATCTAACAAAGGTAAGCTCTTACAGCAGTGCAAACTCACTTGAAGCCACATTTTAGGTCAGAAGTTCTATTCTTCTTTTATGCATGAAGATAAATGAAGGAATGTGCATTTTTGCACTCGTCTGTTTTTCCACTGGCATTTCAAAGGGCTAGAAAAGACAAATCTAGAATCCATGGCTTGTGTAATATATTTCTGTTTTATAATTCATTACTGATACTTTTCAGATGGACAGTTTGGTGGCGTGGTTAAGGCATTAGGCTAGAAACCAGGAGACTAAGCTCTAGTTCTGTCTTGGGCATGAAGCAATGGGGAAACCTTGGGCCCGTCACTTTCTCAACTAGAAACTATATTCTTTCACTCCTTTTCTCATATATATCTAGAATCTTGTTTATATACAAAATGGAGAAGATTGTAAACAAATTGATTAACTAAGCTATTTTTAATGTTGCTTCAGTATTAAATACATTGCTTCATATGATATTTAATATGTTACAGCACTTTACTGTGATCAAGCTATGTCACCACAGCTAAGTTACTTCTATAATTATGAGGTTTTTTCTCTGCAAGCTGCACCACAGCTAATTTACTTCTATAAATGAGTTTTCTTCTCTGCAAGCGTAATTGAAAGCATTCTCAGAGAGGAAAACAGTTATTTTATGTTATTTAAGTAGAGAAACTCATGAAAAATACTGAAAATAAAACATATTAGTAAACAATTCAACTTGAATTATATTAAAGTGGCAATGTAGTTGAGATTAAGTTAATTTTATTTGCTTTTTATGGGATGAAATAGTCAACATTTGAAATATTGTTCCTATGAGTCTTTTTCTTACAATCACAATTGTAATCGCTAAGCAATATGACAGTTTATTGAGTCATGCCCGATTTTATTACTTTTTTTTTTGTTGCTAACCAAATCACCACAATTATTACACTAATCTGTAAGTGAATCTGACTTCCTCCATTGAATTTCCTTGTCACATGCCTTCTGGGAAGGTCGCACATTACCAGTGAGAGGACTGTTTATAAGTCACTTTTTTCACTGTCATCAAAACTTTAGATGTCACTAAACAAAGTCATAAATAGAAGATTACTTGTATCTTAAAAAATTATCAAAAATGTTATAGAACCGTGATGGCGAACTTATGGCACATGGAGCAATTTGTCAGGGAACCCGAGGCATTTCCCTGTCAGCTGGCTAGTGTGCATGCGCATGCTGGCCAGCTGACTTCAGCCTTCTTTTGAGGCCGTTTTTCCCTCTCCGGAGGCTTCCTTGAAGTCATTTCCGGTTTGTCAATAGGGCCGGTTTTCATCCTCCGGAGCCTTCAGGAGGACTAAAAACAATTTCTGGTTTGTCTGTAGGGCCGTTTTTCATCCTCCGGAGCCTTCAGGAGGACTAAAAACAATTTCTGGTTTGTCTGTAGGGCCGTTTTTCATCCTCCGGA